GCTTCCCGTCTTTTTAAATAAGATGGCTGATTGTTGCCTCGCAGCAGAACACCATTGACCGCCTAGTACGGTAATACCTTCTATATTTATACAATGACTAAGCGATTAAGATGTCTCATGGGGGTCATGGAAAATCAGATGATATAAAAACAGTACAGTATTCATAAAAAATTGGTAATAGATCATGAAGTTAGCAGCTAGTCTCAAACCGAATAGAGCAAGATCGGCTGGAAGCCAAGATGCACTGGAGTAGCCACTCCATACTTTATTGACTCAAAGGTAATCGGCTGAGAATGGAAAGAAAAAACTCCTGTTACAGCTATCGTTATTACTAAGATGGTGACTAAAATAATCATGTGTATCAATTATTTCATAATTAAAATCAGCCAGGATTTGATCACAGCTAGGGAAGAGCAATTATCGCAAGACGCGAGTAATTTCGTACCTAAGTAAAGGCGAGCTTTGTCAAATTCAGCTACAGTATGTAATGGACAATCAGCAGAGTGGACCATAATAACTGTTGCCATCTATGCATACGATGGCGTAATTACACGTACAACTTACAGTAACATGTTGTACTTGAAACTGCTAGAAGTAATTTGGTATTCACGGGCTAGATATCAAGGACGCTAAATAATATCAAAGTTTATTTCTTAACTAAAACAAATATAAATAGGGATATTTTGCGCTCCTTTTACAATAATATTTCTTATTTATGATAGCACGTCTGCCTTTTCCTCCGGAATAAATGACAGTAAATAAATAACTCATATTTTATAAGTATCACTAGTATAAAGATGATCTCTTCTACTGGATATTACGTCTATAACTTGTAGCCATTTGTAAAGTTTTTCTTTTGAAATTAAATGTAATAATAGGTAGTGATTAACGTTGTCAGGAATACGGTCAGAGATAATCATTCTATCGAATTATTTTACTTTTAATAATAAAATAGCACGCTAATAAGCACAGAAAATCGGCAAAAATTTATATCATTTTTTCGATCGTTACATTATATGATTAATTAAGATCCCTGGCGTACCTAATCATTATTTTCGAATTTCAAAAATAACAATTTCTTTGTGAGTTTGGTACTTTGATAATATTATTTTTGTCATGCATACTATCGGTTTTTACCACGTTTATTTTATTGTTACGTTATGTTAATAGATGAAGAGGATACTCATTAGACGAAGATTTATTTCAGATTATACTTTAGGTACTTTTATGGATGATTCCAGCTGTAAATATATTATAGACAGACTTCCATTTTAAATAGGCAAATATGAACAATAATTTTAAATTACACCATTAATTAAAGGTAGCTGAATATGTTTTTATCATAGCCGTTGTTAGTCATTAATTACATTCTATATTGCTGTGCGCTATTGCACAATTTCTATAAAGGTATATTACGATACGGACGCTTGTTCTAATTACTAGACCACTTTTTAGTTAGTTAGTTAGTCGGTTAGTTAGACAACTAGTTTGTCAATCGCTATTGAATTATCAAGACTACAATCTTGGTTGTCAAGATTTCTTCAGTAATAAATAGCTGCGATTCTCTAACTACCTTGTCTACACTATCAGTAACGCTATAACTATGCTATAGTATTCAGACGTTGGAACTGAACTATTTGGTGATATAGCTAATCTTGTCTCTTTAAGTCAGTCAGAGGCGCTCTTCTTAAGCGTTACTTGTGTAGATTTACTTTGTCTCTAGTGGTGTGTGACAAGGTGTCTGACCAAGTCATGTTAAGGGCTTTAATTAGGTAAGGATATTGCAGCTAATGAACTTCACCATTTCATTACACCTTTTTTAATCTAACCGTGATCGTCATATATGCATGGCCCATAACATCTACATTGCCCTCGAGCATCGTATATGTTGCCCGTTTGGCATACATAGCCCGTAACAATGTTGCATTACATTTTGCTCAATGACAAGTCTGGTTACTTTAGCACTAGTGCCCTAGCGTTTCGTCATTAATGGCTAGAAATTCATCAGAAACTAAGCAAATATGCGAACTAGAATGCAGAATGAATCATGACATGCCCTGCATATCATAAAGTATACCCTAATTGACAGGGTTCGTGAGTTTATAAAATGCATAATAAAGGAATAAATTTTGCATATAGAAATGTGCGCAGCTCCCGGGGACATTCAGCTCAAACTTTCTAACCTATTGATGAAAATGTAGCAGAACTCTAGCAGACTATCATGGTAGCAAGAGATAATTATTAACTGCATAGATTTTCATTTTCTCACAGGTTTCATTGAAGAGTAAACGGTACAAGGTATTGTTTTATTGTTGGCATAAGAGAACGAACTTAAATAATACGCTTACACTAAGTGAATCTCTTTCTGCTCATGGATCGCATTGAATGAAATGGTGCCTTGCTTTGTCGCAGAAACACCTAAAGCTGCCTAAAGTAAGGATTTCCGTGCTGATCTAATGTTATCTACCAGATAAAATGGTAGCATAATGAAGAAGCTACGGCTAGAAAGATGGTTTGAATAATAGTGAATTGGAGGCTAGACTTGCTAGATCGACGGGATTTAGTACAGATAGTGAACATTATGCTATTATGCCATAACTTGTGTGGCGACAACGTTACTTTAGAAATGCTCCAATTTCACCATAGTATTTACTACTTTTTTTATTTAAACTTTAAAGACGCTAAAATAGTTATCTAGCAAACCAATTTCAATTTTTTTGTAACCTATTTTAGCCGCTCTAGCTATGAAACGCTGCTAGAAGCCAGCTCAATCAAAGTAGAATATGTGACTACGACTTGTTGTTTGTAATTCTGTATTGATGCACCCATGTTTGATTAAACGGATAGCTATATTTGATATAGTTAGGTTGCTTTGAATAGATATTATCGTGAAGCTAATATTAGATGATTGCTAACTTCTATATTAGAAATTGTTGATGACTAATAGTAGCCAGTTGACTAATTATGGTACAAGATTTATGTAGCTAGAAACATCGTAGTTGTTAAGATGCCCATCGGAGAAAGGGCCTAGATGTTAATAGAAGAGTATTGACATCTTAAGTAGAATGATTTAGATTGTATAAAATAATGATGTACTATTAGAGAAAAGTATTTTGTTTGATGACTTATGTCCGATTGTAGATTAATCAAGTTGCCATAAATGGATTTAACGTAATGTTTACATAGGAGAAGAGACTTCACTTCGCTTTGAGCTCGGAATACTCTCGATTTTACACTAGATTCTAGTAGTAATTGATCATTGCTCTACTATTTTTAAAACCTTGTAATAAAAGTCTTTTCGAAAATAACATTTGACTAAGATAGTTCTTTTGAGACGCATTTATTACAAATGCATGATGTTACGTAGGTTCTTTCTTTCAATCGCGCGTATTACTGTAATTATCCCCAAATGAAAGAAATCCTCTTGTTGACAATAATAATGCCCTATCGCCGGAGATCAGATAACCTTCTATCTGCAACAGCGCATAATAGTTTATCAGCATAGCTGGCTGGATGAGATATCCACTGTTAGATGCACATAGAAAAGAACAGGTATTCAATTACTGTACAGTTTCCGTAGCGTTCTGATGTCAGTTCGAGTACGTATATCACTATAACAGGACTAATGCTGTAAACACACACGATGACAGTTAATGGGCACCATTATACAGTAAATCACTGTTATACAAAATTGACAAACGTAGTAAACTTCCCTATTCATTTTGCCAGACAGTGATCTGTAGTAAGGTAAATTGTAAGCATTTTTCATGAACTTGCGGAGTCTATTGTACACTTGTACAATGTAGTCCATGTACCTACTAAAAGAACAATATTCCACGTACCATACGAATATCACAAGGACTAATGTATATCTAATTATCTAGGTGATCTTTCCGTTTTCAGAATATGAAGCATCGAGTACAAAGTCTGACAGTAGCTGGCTGTTGTAATCATTTTATGGGTGGCCTTGAGAATTAGCCATAACTGCGAGACCCACAAGCGTTCAAGAGAAACTCTGTTATTGTAACGCCCTTCTTTCTACGCTTCTAGCTGTCCTAGCGTCCGTAACTCGCACACAAAATATTGTCCGGACGTCCTGAGTCCTGGCCCAAGCAAATTATTACAGAAATGGCCTCGCCCAGAACAGTATGGCTAAGTCCATCCATAGAGGAAATGAACTTTATGCTGTGAACAGCCATAACTTTACAAGTCCATGGCTGTACTACGAGTTAACGATAATGGAATCCGTTCCTATTTTAGTTGTCCCATTCGATGGCGATCCGTAGTGTACAGTCTCAATGTGGACTTGTGGAGTCCGACTACCTCTTTTTGCTCGTCTTTTTGCTTCAAGTACAGTACAGTACTTTCGGTAGAGTCAAATGATCGGCGAAATCCTGTCATAACTTTAGAAGTCCATGACTGTACTACACGTGTTAACGATAATGCAATCCGTTCCTATTTTAGTTGTCCCATTCGATGGTGATCCGTAGTGTACAGTCTCAATGTGGACTTGTGGAGTCCGATTAACTCTTTTTGCTCGTCATTTTGCTTCAAGTACAGTACTTTCGTTTGAGTAAAATGATCAAGGAAATGCTATCAATTCTGCACGTTCTCTCGGTGTACAGTACTATACAGTACAGTATGGGCACTTTATACTGTACACTGTACACTGTACACTGTACTCAGTGTGTCCACACCATCGAGTTCCAATAGGTGACATAGCTTTTGCATAGTTTGTACAGCGTTCGCCGCCAAGATACACTTATTATTGTCCCTTACTGGGCTCTGCTTGGCCGTAGCCCGACTACTTATAGTCTACATTGTAATCTTCAGTACAGTCTTCTACAGACGTCAAAAGGGAGGCGCAACTTTCGTTGGTAAAATCGCAGGGAAAATTGTTCCATTTCCCTCTCTCTCAACCTATTTTAACACTTGATTCGAATGTTGGATTGCCTATTCCATTCTCTATTGTCTCATTATTGATTGCCAGGTTATTGGAAATGCCAGAAGTTTATCACACCGTTTCTTCATCCGTCGTTTGCTGTGCCTTCAATAGCGATAGAAGTCGTAAGTTCATAGAGGGTTAGCGATAGTTATTCCATGCTCCCCGTCCCAGCGTTGCCGTTGACTTCCCATCATCAAGTATCTGTATCTCATGTTCTTGTGTAGTCATAGTTATAATAGAGATTGTAAATGTCTGTTGAAGGGAAACTGCAATAATTCAAGAGAAAATAGTTTGCTCTATAGGCGAAAGCATTGCTCTTCCGTAGTGACAGTATGTCGGTGTGGTTCCACCATCAAACTAGGTTGACAATCATGTGACCTAGCGTACTCTCACCACATTCACGACTTACTACAATTTTTTTTCCTACTTTCTCACTCTTCATTATTTAGTCAAGTAAAACTTTACTGAGTTTATTCCTCTTTTAATATTGGATTCGTGTTGATGTTGTAGAATTGGCTCTTTGTCCTAACAATGAAGAAGTACATATTTATGTGAAGAAGGGAGCAAGCTGGAGTTTAAGTAAAGTTCTGAAAGAGGTTATTCCCAAAACTAAAGTTTTCATCAATGATAGTTTGGATAAAACTTCAATCTTTATTTTCTTACCATTACTTTTCAATTTCGGCTTCATGTAGTAATCTAATGTATAGGATGTTATTCCTAATTTTTATGAGCTATTTTCAAGGTGTTTTACCGGTAATGAACTTCATCATCCGTTATTGACCTTACACTCTACTTTGAATTATTGTAGCACACAGAAATTATCAACGGCATTGATTGGGCTTCTGAAAGTGATAAAATTGTAACTTGTAGTTCGGTAAGTTGATTCATGACATCACTATTCGTCAGTAGGAATCTGTAATGAGGATTATTTTATTATCTCGGATTTAATCTTACTATGGTGATGGCTTGTTGGCTAATTAGGATAGGAATGCTTACGTATGGAAGCGTGAAGGGAATGATTGGAAGCCAACTTTGGTATTACTCCGGATGAATCGTGCGGCTACGTGTGTTAAATGGTCACCAGACGGTATGATGATTATTCTAATATAGAGTAGATAGCAAAAGTAAACTTTAGACTGCAGTACTGTGGTAATACATCAGTAACGCCATTTCAGTAGCTTTTTATCGGGGATGTAAAATAACTTGGGATTATAGTAGGACTTATTATTTTTGTGATAATGTAGAGAACAAATTTGCTGTTGGATGCGGCGCCAAATTGGTTTCCATCTGTTATTTTGAGAAAGAAAATGATTGGTGGGTCAGCAAGCATATCAAGAAGCAAATCAACTCGACTGTGTTATCAGTTGATTGGCATCCCAATAATATTTTACTAGCAACTGGATCGTGCGATTTTAAGTGTAGAATATTCTCTGCATACATAAAAGAAATCGAGAGTAAACCATCACCAACATCTTGGGGCTCCAAAATGAATTTTGGTGCTTGCATGCACGAGTTTTCTAATTCTGGAGGTGCTTATTGTATTTATAAACTTTCGTTGTTGACATTTGAATTGATAGCTTATGCTGATCGGTAACCAACGCAATGTTAAGGCTTTCACGTAGAAGTATATCTCCTACAAACACTAATTATCATGCTTGTTATTTGTTCTAGGTGGATGGGTACATTCTGTTTCTTTTTCATTCGATGGTAAAAAAGTTGCATGGGTTGGCCATGATTCTAGTATATCAGTTGTTGACTCTGAAAGAGACAACATTTTGTTGACTGTGAAGAGTACTTATTTACCCTTCGCTTCATGTACCTGGATTTCATCGAATAGTATTGTCAGTGTTGGCCACGATTGTGTTCCGTATCTGTTCAGTATTGATGGTGCTGGAAATCTGACATTTCGTGATGCACTTGATAAAAAGGAGAAAAAACAGTCTGAAAACGTTTTTAGGTAATAGTAGCAAGCGTTTCTATCTTTGTTACTTATTGAGTAGGTTCTTTTTGCTTAGAAAGGGCTAACATTATAAACTTATTGTTTTCTTTCAGTGCGTTAAATAAATTCAGAGATCTAGATAGACTGGGTTCTACCAAAAGTGACAGAAGCAACACATCATTAAATTCTATTCATCAAAATGCCATCAAGTAAGAGGCTCACACATTAATATGCAAACCATTACCATCGATTGATGAAATTATCGATATCCATTTCTAGGGGCGTAGCTATTGCTAGAGGTACAAAGAAAGACTGTGCGGTATTTTCTACCTTTGGAATGGACGGTAAAATTATAGATTGGGATTTAAAGGTAAGCATTAGAAAAATGATTATGAGTATATTGATGCTTACACATGCAAATACTATTCCTTTTTATTTCCTACTGAATTGCAACAAAGAGAAATAAACTTTTTGCGTTCCTTGTTCATATAGTCGCTGGAACAATCCATAGCCGGACTAAAAATTGCCTAGTTTCTGGAAAGTTGTGTTTACTAGAATGCCAATTTTAGTGCATTACTATTTCAGCAGTTGCAAATGTCTATATGGCATCTGCTTCATTAGTTTTATTGTTATTTCATGATAGTAATAATAAAATGAACATTGATGATTATTACATGCTCACGGCGCCATGCACTTCAACAATGCAGCGTAGTACTATGTCGTAACCCGAGACATAACTGAGGCATAGCTGGTTTAACTAGGTAAATGGGTAAGGATGATCACATATCTTTTCTTGGGCAATGCCGCATGTCGTATGTACGTGTTATCCTATCAATTACTATCGCCTTAATCATTCATTCATGTATTTTTATACAGTATTAGAAAATTTTTTCGTGGATATTGTAATTACTATGCACCTTACATATAGCTTTGAAATTACTATCATTTTTCTTTGTAGTTTGTATTCGCGGTTGATCTAAGATTTGAATCTCTGTTTAAATTGTACTGTAATGTATCCAAATAAAAATTCTCGCTGTTATCATGAACGTATTGAATATTATTTGCTTGTTTATGTCTGTTGTTAAGTGAGAGCTTATTGACAGTACGAAAATATTTACAGCAGCCATAGATTACGCAATAGTGTTTAAGCTTTCCAATTTTTGTACCCTTTAATATATCTTTCGATTTTTGTACTCGAATTACTGAAACATCGCAATTGGAATTATCCGTTTCTAAAATGAATTAATTATCTACAATTAGAAGTAAATGCAATGCAGTTACAACAATTTTTCGAAAATCCTTCCAAGGAATAAAACAAATTAGTACAGTAATGGATATGGTAGTGTCTGATCTTAAGTAATATCGTATGATATTTTAAAGTTTTAAATAGAATTTTGGAACAGCAACAGTTATATTCCTGTCACCTTGACCACATAACTACAGTACAACAGGCGTCATGAATTATCTTATTTTAACTATAACTAACTATCAATTTAAGGTTTACAATCAATTCAAGTTAATTCGTTTTTCTTTCGCCCATTTCTTGATAATTCGAATTATGTACTCAACTTGTGGGTTTGCAGTGTTGCGAAGAATAGCTAATAACTCTCTTAGCGTCTCCCTGAAGGTTAAATTTAATAAAATGTAGTTAGCAATCGATAACTTACACAGTTTTATGTCGATGTATTGTATATATTTTATCAACCTGCCTTGTGCAACTACTTACCGAGGTTCATGACCAGCAATAATTAGTTGAAATAAGCCAATACATGCCCCTCTTTTACCTTCCCAATGTTCCGGATTAGGATCCATCCTCTCCAATACGTCAAAAGCTTTACAAGCATAGTAGAATTGTCCCATCTAAAAGATTTATTTCATCGTTTTTATTGTCCATTCGACACGAAATAAATCCGATCGACTTCAGAAATTCCATACCTTATAACATTCATTAGCAATAAGAGTTAATAGTTGGAAAGATTCTGATGATGTTTCCATTTTGAGATAGGATTCCCATGCTAATCGTGATTTTCTATTCATAATATCTAAAGGAAAAATAGACCTACCATTATTATCCCATATACCACTAATTCACAGAATAATACAGTACGAGAGTGATTGCATCTAGCTATTGTTAGATGGTTAATAAATTATTGAAACTTACAGCATCGAGCTAACCAACTAAGATATGTGTAATCATTTTTGATTTTTTCGCTTTGTATCATGAGAAATATCTAATCAAGAGAGAAGCAGATTCAGAATTATTTAATTGTTGAGCGAACTTTACGAAAAAAATTAAGCATAATACAATAATACAAGCAGAGCATCTCTACAGTAATTAGAAATAACCTCTTCAGCTTCCTTATAATTTCCTGCAACTGCTTTCGCTTGTGCATAATTGAAATTGAATACGTCGTCGTTATAGAAGTAGCTCTATAAAACATATAATGGCAAAATATAAGTACAGATTACTATATTGAAGAATTCTGTTTATTAATGATATACGAACAGTAATCAGATATAATATTTACAAATTCGAAAAGCTTAAAACTTATGATTTGTTTACCTTAATGGAATTTAGATAAATCAAGACATCTTCAAATTGCTTGAGAAGAAAGAAGCAAGCTGCCATACATTGCCTACCAGGTATTGTATCTAAATGTAATTACAATGCATAATTTATTTTCATTTTCGATTACACGTATGCAAACTATCACTACTATAATTGACAGTGCAAGTAAATTTACCGCATTCGCTGGCTGATCCACCAACTAGTTGAAAGTACTGTTGAGCAATACGAAGATGCTCGCGCTATCGTAAAATGAAAATAAATAATAAGTAGAAAAAAATTATTATTAATTTTTTTCTAATCTGCTGTGGCTAGCAATGCAATTAGACAAGAATATTTGTGACTAATTTTTCTTCTAACCGATTGTTGCTCTTGACCTAGAGCTGCATTGACAACACCTTTTAAAATGTATTCCTAGAAATAAGTAATACATTTTCAGTATTTGAGCTCATAAATTTCAATCGCTAAGGATGAATCTTTTCAGATCGAGAAATTAAACTTACTTGTGGAATTGTTGGTTCTAAATCTTTAATCAATTTATAAGCTTCTACAATATCATCTTGCTTCAGGTAATAAATGACCTGAAGGTCCAATAAGGGGTAATTAATAAGTTTAGACTATTTAAATAATTTGAAATGTATCGCAATTTAGCAGTTCCAGTTAAAAAATTTACTAGATTAAGTCTTGCTTCTGGAATAACATCTATTAATGGTGGGAGAACTTGTAACGCTCCTTCACCTCCTCGGAAGACAACCTTTAAAACAATTAATAAAGGAGCGTTAGAAATGAATATGTAAAGATTTTGGACTCAATAAAAGAGCTACTGGATATTCTACAGATTTGAAACTACACGCTTTAGTGGATTAGAAGCTTACCAAATTGTGTTTTATCAAGTCTTTAGCAAAAACTAGGCTTGGCGATGACATTTCTTGTAGGTTCTTCAATTCAGCCTACAATTAATACATGGAATATCATTATAATAGCATAATTACTCACATAAATGCTTAAATTTAGAGATAGATGAAGTATGGTGATATTGATATAGATTATAAGTCATATTTACTTACCTCTGCTGCTTTTCCATTATAAAGCTTGAAGTGATTGCAGGCTTTTAAATTTAAAGCTATTACACTACAAGAGGCATATGAATATTATAATGAATATGTATTACCTATCGAAAGCTGTACGTAGTTATTTAAAAATAATATTTTAGAAACGTAGCTTCTAAGTTGCATTTATAGATTACCTATCTGGATTATTTTGCAAATAAACCGCCAAAACTTCCTGTGAAACATCGTAGTAGTCTAGCTTGTAATAGCATAAGGCCACATATACGTTTAAAGCTAAATAATCCCTATCAGTTTCGGAGATAAAATTAGATCAATCCAAAATTAATGCTGTAGTTGTGATCAAATTACAAAGCTATATCAACTTAAAATAGAATAATGATTGACGACTGCCCTATACCTATTTTCTAGTAAGATTCGTTTATAAATATCTATAGCTTCTTGATAGTGACTTCTTAAATAGTGAATTGATGCAAGGCTTAGCTGCAGTATAAATAAGTATAACACGATATCAGTTATAAATGTGTGTAACTAATTGAAGATGCAGTACATTAGTTTAAATCCACTTTACTTGATCTTGTATGACGTCTTGTAATTGTTGATGATAATGCATTAGACGCTTTTCGTCATTAAACTGAAAGATTAAACCAAAAAGAAATTTTATGACATAGAATTTGTTTAAATTTTGAGGTCTTCTTTATAGAAGAGAATGAGCACATCATTTAAATAATTATACCGGCGTTTAGAATAAAGTACCTTTTGAGATAAGTGAAATTGTAATCGGTTTTGTAGTTTACTTTTAGGACCTACAAGAAATAATTAGACTTTATTATTAAGCATTTATACAGGATAAAATTTTGTAATGGCATTGGCGATGTACATTCCTAAGGACAGCTGCCTTTATCGAATATATAGTTACCTTTATCAGCTGCAGCATCAGATTCTTTATACATTCCTAGTAGGAAATAGCAACATGCTAAATAGCACCAGTAGTCTGGGTTACAGCCTACTTTTGATGTAAGCTTTTGATATTCCTATAAACATCGTATGGAAAGTAACAATTTCGTATCAATCTTTTTCAATAGCCTCCGAATTTTATACCGAATTGATTATTTCAAGTAAGTAATTCATGAACATTATAAACAATACCTCCATAGCTTTCTTATAATCCCCAAGGTGGAATGCACAGTAAGCTATCCACAAACTGACTTCATCATTTCCCTTACCACCTCCTCTATCGAACTTATACCCCAAAGAGAAATGATATCAACGATTAAAATAAAATAAGGTACTTGTATATAATGCATTGACTATTATGGAATAATAATATAGCTGCACTATATGAATTTAATACGTTATACTGTATTCTGATTTACTTCTAGTAGAGTCATGGCTCCAGTGTAGTCTCTCTTGTTCAGAAAGTCGTCTAATTGAGGAACTTGTTGCTCCTTTTTCTTAGTCTCTTTCTCTTGAGCGGTTACTGGTTTTGCTCTTGATAGTAACTAATTTAATGGGATATTTTAAAGCACATTAGATGTTATCATGTCCACAGCAGTTTACAACGTATTAATAGCAGCCAGAATTTGAATCCTGATAATAGGATTGAATGTAATCTTAACTTTATTATGATAAGTAAAACTTGGGAATAAAGAGTCCGACACTTTTAAAACATAACTCGGTTAACTTATAATTTATTTCTAATTATTCTTTATTAAGTTTATGCCTGTTCCACTTCATGATAGATTTGACTTGATTAATAGTCAAACAAAATGAAGAAAGGAAAAAAACGGTTGTAATACAGCAATAATAAAGTTGGCAGCTAGCTTACCATTTTCAGTGCGTTAAGTGTCTTGGGTTTAAGTAGTTACAATCAATAGACTGGGTCAATCTTCTAGTCCAAGTTATAGAAATAATAACATTTTTAGATGGTAAAAAGTATCCTTATTATTTAGCTATACTCTTATTATATTATGTTTGGCTTTACCGATTCTGCCGTTTCATTAATTATCATTACCCTACCTGAACGCTACCTACTTGGGCGATAAAATGATCTGAATCAGGCAATTACGTTATAATTCTCTTTCAACAGGCAATGATCAATCTTGCGCAGTAATTGGACCGTTGGCATTAGCTTTCTTCCTAACGAGATTTTATCTTTTACTTGGCGAAGAAAAATACGTTCCTTCTTCAAGCTGGCTATCCAAATTTAATTGAGAGACGTTTTACCTGAACATGAAGGAAGAGTATGACATCTTACTGTCGCTAAGCAACTGCTGGCCATTTTGCGCAGAATCATTAGGACTTGCCATCACCGTGAGTTACTATGAGTACGAGACTGATCTGGTCAGTAATTGAAAGTACAATCTAGTCCAGGTCATGTTAGGTACGTTATAGTACTGTAACGTCTATTATACTGTACACTACACTATACAGTTAGTGTACAGTGTACAAGTACCCTATGAGAATTAATAATAACAACCCTAACCCTAACCGGCTAACCCTAACCGGCTAGCCTTAACCCCTATGATAATTAATAACAGAGCGCAATTACTGTAAGCCAGTAAAAACGGTACGGTACGGTACGGCACAGTATAGTGAGATTTTATTACAGTATTATAATGAACAACAAAATAAATAGAACAGTATACGTACAGTACAGTAGTACAGTGTACAGTACATTGTACTGCATAGTGGCACGGTGCACTGTATATTGAGTCTGCGCATCTCATTTTTCCAATGGATCGTTTGGTGTTCTTCAAGTCCCTCCTCCCCCTTTTAGTGATGAAATAGTTTGATTATTTTCCGGCTACTGTTCTGTAATTTCCTGTCGAAAAGAAGGCGCTTATTTTGATGTTTACTTTTTAACACCTAGAAGTGTCAGCAAGCTCATCGGATTCAATAGTTTGCTTATTTCATGCTACTGTAGTTGCTGTAGAAAAGGAGGCGCTTACGCGATACTTTACTTTGAGCTTTTCAACGGCTATAACTGTCAGCAGCCTATCGTAGCAATATTTATTTGGAGTATTTGAACCACCTTGATTGCTTTGAAGCTAATTTGCATACTAAACTGGTAAGAACGAAGACCCTTTAAAGGCGATTATTTTTTCCTTTTTTCAGCTTAATGTTACCTTTATGTATTTTCGTGACTTTGTCTCCTGTACAGGGAAGATGTTCGAATCTTTGAAATAGGTATGAATTTAAATTAATTTTCTGTGATTTGTAAATATAAATTTTGCGTCTAGAAATCATTCAAGCTTGGATAATAATAGTCGTTCCGTCAAGGTGTGCGACACCCATAAAGCAGAAAAATAAAGCAATACTTCAATTTTGGGCATAACCTGGAACAGATTTAAAATAAAAATGTCATTTCGACCTCTTTTTTACAAGCGAATAATAAACAAGTTCAGTATACATTCATTATACTGAAGTCCAAAAAAAAAAAATTGAATGAAAGAAAACAAATATAAATAAGTACAGTACATGGAATTTCTAACTTCCAAACATTCAAATTTTACCCGTTTTCAATACAAATCCATATAATTTTCATACCTCTGCCCTGGTGCAAAGGCTTGTAATAATTATAATGTATAAACAATAAATTTTACCCGGCGGGAAAGTGGTTCCAAACGAGCCGTCATTGAAAAACGCACAAGATGAACGTTACCCGGTTGCTTTAGTACTATCTATTAGTCTTTTACAAGGTTTTAAAGGTAAGAAATGCTTATTTTTTGTAAAGATTAATGCTTAAGGGTAGTACTCAGCATGTTAAGCGATAAGCTACGAATTCCGTATCGTGCTCGATCGTAATGACATTTTAACTTTATAAAGCTTGACTTTTAGACTGTTTAGTTTAAGATGGATAGTAGCTGCATCAGGTCCAGCTACTAGTCTTTAATCAAATATGAAGACTGTAAGGCTTATTGCTACTCTTAGTCACTTTGACACTATTCTTTTGAGCAAATCTAACACAAGCTTACAATAGTAGTGCAATAACGTAAGTTGGCAGAGAGTCGCAACACCAAGCCAATAATTTCTTATTTATTCTTTATATGGATTGGCATTATTCACGTGATTCACACTTTTCAGTATTAAGATAGGTGGAAAGAACATCCATCAATTACATAGTTTTTGTTGAATCGGTTCAAAAATCCAAAAAACTTATCTCTAGCACATCTCAGCTCGCAGATATTGAAACGCAATTGTTTCTAAAGTTCTGTCATTTAAAAATCTTTTGATTGATCACAGGACTGCGATTACGCCAGGCTGATTTATTATTGCAGAAATGAGAAATTCTAGAGGGAGAAGACGACATCGAAGACACCGAAGCCATCCAACATATCAAAGTCATGTAACACATGGAAATTGTCCAATATATCGAAGATATCCAACAGACCAAAGCTGTCCACCAAAACTGGAATCGTTTGTAGATTTTTATCTTGTCATCGATTTTGAAGCTACAACCAAATCAAAGTATCGAGACTACCATTTACCAGAAATTATTGAATTCCCAGCCTTACTAATTGACGCTAGCACGCTAGAAGTTTTCAGCGAATTTCATTCGTATGTTCGACCTACGATCAATCGAACTTTAAGTAAATTCTGTAAGCGACTGACTGGAATATCTCAGGCAAGTAGGCAATGCTTTAATGACTAACTGCTCCATACGAGCTAAACACACTAAAAGTTTATTTTCTTCTTGATTATACAACTCGTCTCAATCAATAGAATCATCTACAAGTAATTTTCATCATGGTAATCTACTGTAAAGTAGGAGTAGCAAAGCGCAAGCAGCTCCATAGTAATAATCGTATAGTCTCCTCGTCTTCCTTCTTACTAATATCATCTAATATTATCCAATACAGCAATGATATACAAGCCTACAGCTGAATAACATTCTGTCGATATAAAATTATGCATATTTTGTTATAATTTAGTTATCAAATCTGATGCTGATAGCAGGCCTGTGATTCGTGATTATTATAAATTAGCTATCTCTATAGATGTCACTTAACATAAACGAATGAACTAAGGACTATTGGGGATTTCAAATCCTCCAAATATTATTTTAATTTTTCCATTTTCACATATTCACAAAGTCTTATAGCAGCTTGTGTTATCTGCAAAGGTAATAAAAATGCAAGTGTGAAAAATCAATTTAGTTTAGCTAGCGTTACGTCATACTAATACATAATATCTATCCAATAATTACAATCTATAAGTCGACTAAATTCAAAACTAGTTTCTATCGTAAAAGTATGAGCTCGTTCCCTTTTACTTACAGGCTCATTATGACACCTAAAATATTAATATTGGTGAGATAACAATGGCACTTGGTCCAGTACCGGAATAATTTTATGGAAAAAGCCATGACGCTATGTTTAGTTATATTTAATTATTTGTTGTGTAGACAATGTAGTCAAGACATGCTGTTAAATTTAGCTCCAAGCATTACAATTTTCTTACTATAAATATACGGTATGATTGTGTAATAAGGTTTGAAGTCAAAATTTTGACTGAATGGGTTGATTGCTTGTACTAATTTATTTTGATACCCATTCTATGAGTGAACATTAATTCAAAAATAAGGTCTCAGCTCTACTTTAAAGTAAAAAAATTAAATTAATTATAAAATCAAAAGTCTACAGTACAGCACCAAACAAAATCAATTATTATAAAGATATTAATTTATTGAAGTGATGTCAATTCATTTTTAATTTTCCTGCTTCATATACGAACATTATTCGAAATAAGATCTTAATCCTACTTTCAAGCTAAATTAGTTTTAAAAATTTATGGGACGGTTTGACACTACAGTTTTCCTTATGATATAGTATGATGGTATTGCTTGATTGCAAAAATGCTAATTTATTTGTTGACAAACTCAATGAGTGAACATTAACACGAAATAATGATCTCAATTCTGCCTGAAGCAAAATCAATTATAAAAATTAGAGCATGGTTTGAAGCAAAAGTATTTATTGTACTGGAATTAATTGATTAATAAGATGCCAAATTTATTTTCGGCCAACTTTCATAAGCGAATACTTATATGAAATTCAAGAAGAGAAAATTTGCTGCGTACGGTATTTTAATGCACAAGTGATCGTATTACTTACCTAAGAATCAATTTAAGCTATGTTTGCCTACCTTATAATTGTATACTAAATTAAAATGAATCACCAACATTCCAATACAATATGATTCGTAAAGTATTTAAGAAGCTGATCGATTACTATTGTTACTGAACAACTGTTTGGTGCCTGGCTACTGCATAGCGATAGTCTCGGATATCAATTAGAATCTGTTTAATGTTCGTTAATCCTTATAATTTGTAAATAACCAATCGTATGTGAGTAGGAATTGGTCAGTTGTGCAGATACTTTTCCTGACATTTTTAACGATTTCGAAGCTTGGTTGAACGACAATACTGTGAAGGAAAACAAGAGCTTTATTTTAGTAACGGATGGGTAAGATGAAGAGCATTTTTGATAGTATTCTTTGTTAATAGTAATATGCCAAACGTTTAAGCAAGGGCTAAAAATTTAATAATCCCATTTCTGTTTTATTTTCTTATATGAAATCACCATATGGCTACGTAACGTGCACTCCTACTGATGTTAAATATTACTTAAAGCGGTAGTGTGCATTGAGTGACGTTCCGTTTCCTTCGTGGACTTGCGAGTGGATCGACTTAAAACTAGCTTTCAAACGTATTTTTAACCTCCATTATCAACCAAGATTACCGGTGATGCTGGAACATTTGATGATAGATTTTTAAGGGTCAATGGCATCGTGGAAAAGATGATGTTCAAAATATTGCTAATGTGTTATGTCAACTAATTTTGGACGGCTATGAAATTACCCCTAATAGTGATACTTCGATCTAACTACCTTTGCTGATGTGATTTGCTGTTTATCCGAACACAAATCTATTCATTCATGAGCATTAAATTTTTTCTGTTATTCTGTTGCCATAGACAAGTATTATTTCTAAAATGCATGGTTCAAGATAGGTCGTAAGATCCCCCTTCGCATATGTTTAATCTTTATGTTCTGCTATCCAACTCATGATGCTGTTTAATTAATCGATTGCACTATCTTCATCGTAGAAAGTGAAATGTAAATTGTAATGTCTTTATTAATCTAGATATGTTGATGAGCTTCCAAAAGAAGTAAAATAATTTGCCTACGATATATCATAATTAAACGCTTGAAATATTAAACTAACATCAATCATCCTGGTCACTGATTCACTGTATTACTAATTACCACTGTTTGATAATAAACGCCATATTTCTTGTGGTATGTTCAATCCTAATATTGATTGGATGCAATACCCGAGATTATTACCACTTCAATAGATCTAGTGAATTTTAGTTAAAATTCTGTGCGACAAATGATATGATTTCTCAGATAAAGGCACTATGAAAAAAAAATAAGTAAAGTTTTGTGAGCTAGACTATCTTTATTGGCAGAAATAGAAAGCACACATGAACATCTTACGATAACCTCTATCAACACGCTTATTATTGTGATTTGATTCGATTTTCACCTGATCTTCAGATTGGCATATTCGATTCAAATCACTTAGAACTACTTAATTACATTTTGCTAGTAACAAAGCTAATCCAATATTGAGTTTAGATTAAACTTTAGAGTCATGAACGAGTTTGGTAAAGATCTAAGTAAGCAAGCAAGCATTTATGCCACTGTTCTCTGATTCGCTTTTACTGAATAGAAACAGTTACGTCAAAAATACTTTATACCTTCATTTATCTCACCTTTTCTTGCTACCTTATATCTTCACCGCGAATTCATTGAAATTGACATTAATTATAGCTATTATTGACATTTATTATTATTATCAATTGATTATTATACTGTACAACAGCATGTATAATTTTGAAATAGTAAAAAGATCTACAGGCTGATCCGATAGTACTATCTAGGTATAGAAGAGAATCTCTAATTTAGCGAAGCAAATTAGTTCAACTCAAAACTTTGTAAATTTCAGTAACGATAAGAAATTTTATTGTACACTTACCGCAAAGGGCTATGTTCGTTTTCATACCGATCATGATTAGAAATTATAGCAATACGATTCTTATTTCATCCACGTTATTTTAGCAGTCTTTATGATCATAGCATATTTTCACGTTGTCAACTGTTCCATTTACAGCACTGCATGCTGATTGCGATCACAGGCGCTCTGAAAAACCTTTTTGTAGTTCTATATGATATTACTGATGCCAAGACTGCGCCAGTGCTGCAGTTACTCTTTCACATGTATCGATATGAATCAAATTGCCAGTTACTCTAGGGAAAGAACCCATTTCAAGGTTAATTACCTAATCTTCTTCAAAGTACGAGCTAAATAATATTAGGAACTAATCACAAATGTAAGTATTTATGATGTTATACAGTCTTAAAAGTTAAAATTAAGAGATATACTAATTCTTTTTATAGTTAGCAAACTGTAGTTATCGTAAGGTACTTTATGCTGTTAAGACAGCATAAAAACAGGAATAGTCAGTGATTGTTGTAAAATGGTCTCAGATTAGACTACATGATCTATGACTTTGCAATTTCAAAATGTTTTTTTCATACACATGTTAAAGTGCGCTTTTTAAAGGCCAATCTTAAATCTATTGGTCATGTAGTTTTATAATTCTTGAAACCGAGTATAGATTGACATAATTATCAATACAATTTCATTTAGAAAACCAAAATTAAGAGATAGTTTTAATTTCATTCGAATTGAAATTGTCATGAATAATACTTATTTTATGTTCCTTTATGTCATTAAATGGATATCAGCTGCATGTACTGTATTATTGTCCCTGATGTTTAGCAATATGTTTTAATAAACACCAACGCCATCCATCACATTGCAATTTTCAAATTCTTGCCCTTCGCATACATTTCTCATAGCCTATTTACTCATTACACATTACATTATTCAGTTAATATATGAGATTTCGCCACTTAAAATGATTCTTTTCTTGATTAATAAAGCCAAATAAAATTAAATAAAACATGCTGAACTGAACTGGAATTAGATTTTTTATCGTATTAATTACAGTGAGAAGTTACTGACGTCTGCAAAAAAACATGATCGCACTTGATTTTGTGTTACAGCTTTAATGGTATATTTAATGGCGCCTACAATTTTCCTAAATTTTAGCACATAGAAGCAATATTGCAATATCAAGTTAGAAGAGTTGCTGGTATACTACGTTTGCATTTTTTAAAACATCGTTTAAGGCGACTAGCAGTAATTGGCCTGATTAGTATTTCTGAATCTCGTATCTTCATCTTGTGCCAAGGCAGAAAATTATATGCAGCACAGCTATTTGAAGTTACTTACAGATCTGTTCTCTAACGTCTACGATTAGTGTTACTAGCTATCTTATAGAAGCAGTCATGTCATGAATTTTAACATTGTTACCTCTCAATCTGAATTAGGGTAAAGCCAAATTTAATCTCCATTATAAGCATATCATAATAATGATTGTATGCGATAGTAATTAGAATTGCTATCGCGATTACATAGCTCTAATATAGCTAATACTAAGTAAGCTGTTGCCTTCAGGAACAATAAAATTTGGAATTAAGATCGTATACGTTGATTACAGTTTAATGTATATGAATATCTACATATTAGAATCAATCCCATGCTGTTTCGTAATTTGTGAATAGCTGACAGTAACAATCTACCTTATATTGGTTGTGATTTCAAATGCTACTGTGATTAAATTGCTCCAATAATAAAACTCAGTTGTTGCAATCGGAAATAGCTATATCTGGAATGTACTTTATGAGTATTCACGGCGGTAGTTCAATGTACATAAATGTCTAGATATCAGAATGAGTCTAAGACCTCTTTAATTTTTACCGGCAGCTGATGATAAGATCGTACTTATTGTAAAATTAATTTATGCTACGATAAAGATTGCTCTAATATAGCTAACATAAAGTAAGTCGCTGCCATCAGAAACAACAAGATTTGGAATTAACACCTCGTACGTCGATTATGGTTTCAATGGACATAAATGGCTAGTTATTAAAACGTCAGTAGCCGACGAAACGATTAAATTGGTTGTAACTTCAATTAGAACTGTGATTATACAGTATAGGATTTTCGAAATGCTGCTACGAGACTAGTTATTGCCATCAGAAGTATATATGAAGCTTAATGATCGATTTAAAAAATCACGATAAGTATCAGTTTATTCATATCAACTCTGGCATCAGCCTGTACATATAAAATGACCATTTCGAACAATTTCATAGTTGACGGCGTTGCATTGATGACGACAAATACTCGATAGCTTTTATGGCAAGGAAACTAATCGGTCTAGGCTTACGCGGTTACGTCTGCTGTTTATAAAGAACAGAACGTTCATTGATGATTTCATTTCTAGATCATCTATCATCTGCTGATGAAATTTAGGTCAGAAATTAGTATTGTATCGCAATAAATGAAAAAAACTTCATTAGCAGCTTTACTACTCTACGTATTATCATAGCACAAGTTATCTGATCATATTTAATCCGTCCATAAATTACATTATCTTTTATTCCGTCTTTACATCAATGATAATTTTTATTTGTAGGATCGCAACAATGTCGGAGAGATCTGCACGTTTAAGAGCCAAGAACGGAATTAAATCTACCAATCAATTTGATTGCTACGTGATCTTTTACCTTGAAGGATCATGCTTACCTCAGCAGCCGCCTACATTTATACCTGAAGTGATTGAATACTCAGCAATTTTAATAAATAGCCGTAATTGCTTAAAAGAGGAAGAATTTCACGCCTATTGTCGCCCTAGAATCTATCCAATTTTGAGCGAATACTGCCAGGAGACAACAGGAGTTGTACAGGTAGTAACTTAATACTATTAATAACAAGATAAACACTTAATACTGCATTTAATTTGACATGGAAATACTATCATTTTAAACGTATTAATCTTAATCCTTCGTTGTAAGCGAGATTATTTCGTATACGTACTATTCTATTCAGATTAACAGCCCTCATTACGTAATTTCTGATCGTCATAGATTATGCAAAAAGAAGTAATCTATAGCAAACTGATCTTAATCTATAGACAAGTTTAATTTCATGATGCCTAGGAAGCATAAGCTTTCCTTTTAGATAAATCCAAGGCTATAGGGATACTGCTGTAAAAGAACAAGATTATGCTAGATAATGTAATAGAAAAGATTATTTACAGTATCGCTGCTGTGTAATTATTACACAGTTATACAGTTTTTGAATGCAATAACTTAGCTTACAGTCGTTAAAATGAAATGTTTATTTTGTAAGCCAGTCATTGAAATCAGAGCATCGATCCATGGATGTTAGTAAATGTTCAGTTATGCACTCAATTGCTAATTTGCTACCTTTATTGGTAGCGGCTGATATTATTTAATGAAAGCATTATGTAGCATATCTGATTTATCATATCAACATTTATAGTACAACTACCTTGTGATGATTATCAAAAGTATAGGATAATTTATAGCTTTAGAACTGATTTAACCGCTTAACTACTAAGGCAGTGGTCGATAAAGCTAGTGACTTTGCAACAGTACATCATCTTTTTCTCAATTGGCTATGCAACGCTACCAGTAATAGAAATAATTTCTCAATGGTCACCAGTTCGTAAGTCCAGTCTTTGTTTATACTGCATGCGCTATTTGGCATGTATAAATAGCTTTTAATATGGCTACGATTATCCATGCATCTAATATATCCGTAAAGCATTTGGAAACACTAAAATATAAATACTCAGAAAATAGTCAATAGTAAAAGGCAGCTTTTAAGCTGATTTTCAATTTATGCTACTATTATAGATGTAAGGGTACGATCGAGCTATTTTTGACGCAATGTAGAAGGGAAAAAGTAGCAATACCTCTATGGATTGAACATTGGATAGATTTGCCTATTATTTTCCGGAAATGTTATGGTTATCATCGTTTTCCAACTATTTCAGACATGTTACATAAATTTCAGATAGCGTATGAGGGCCGTTTTCTTCATGGTTTCCAGCGCGCCGAAAACTTAGCAGCTATTTTGTGTGGTATGTTACAAGATGGCTGCTGCATCAAATGTGATACTGATCATCATGTTATATAAAAATTGGTTATACAGTCAACAGACGACAGTTGATAGACTATAATGCAAGCTCATGTCAGGCATCACATAGTATTTAATCATCATCTTTGGTGGTCGTTTGCTAAAAGTATTCTCCTTTGGAAAGGGTTTTATATACCACATTTTTTTTATTTTAAAAGTATCGTTAACTGACCTATCGATGCTGTGTCCTTTAGCTTTAGCATAGCAACAGTAGTTGAATAGCAACGTACCTACTGCTAGAAACAGACTTTGAGCAGTGAATATTTTGCTGATGTATTAGGAATTGCTACGGCTTCGAAATTGATTATGAGAAATGCTCTCTAGCAGCTGCTAGTGCAAACAAATAGAAAAGCGCGGCTGCTAAAGATTGATATTGACAGTAAAGCGATCAATCTATTGTAAATATCTATGTATCAATGCAGTTTGTAATAAAATGCAAGTAAACAAATATAAACTCTTGCTAGGTACGATATGTTATTAATGTGAATATGGGGAATATCAGAAATTCTCTTGCTAGTGAATTTGGGAGATAATACTGAGAGAATACCTACATTATACCTATCATTTTATGTAAAAGGTGAATATTGCAAATAATCTGAAGTTTATGGTCGTTAGTAAATTAAGGCAGACTATATAACGTTAAAGGATCAAAACTTTGTGTAGATAGTTTTCATTTACGGATGTGCTATTTGGTATTATCAAGTCAAAGAGAGGCGGTACAAGATACTAAATCACAAACCGTCTTAATATTGAATATTAATTAAATCTTGCATTGATATTGGCAGCTTTTCCCCGAAACAGAATGTGTAGGCGGCCGGACGATATAGTAAAGTTGAGGTATATTATGCAATGCATTTTAATGAAAGTTTAGTATTTCTAATGAGAATCGCCGTATTAAATGTAAAACTTAAAGATGCATTTCTATACTGATAGATAATTAAACCGGTAAGATGTAAGCTTTGATGCAATAATTTTAATATGAAATTTTCTATTACTAAATTAATCGAATAATGTTATCACTATCTAATCTATTCAAAGGGTGACCTTGGATGGTTTTGTAAATAATAATCGTAATTTAGATAATATTATGCCATGACAGGCCAGAATATTAATTTTAATAAATCTAATTTTGTCTCATCAGTAATAATTAAATTAATACAACTAAATTGAGTTGTTCATCATTACACCCCTAAATGAATTTGCAAGTTTTAAATTATGGCAGTGGAGACTATTTTATATAAATAGATTTTTAGGTTACAGGGAGAAGTAATATTAATAGTAATTAGGCTAAATGTAAGCAATTAGTCAATAAATTCTAATAGTAGTGTTCAGTAATATGCCTATCTAAATTTTCTAGAACTGAATTGTCTTGAAGTTATCCCAACTGCCAACTGTAGCTCATTGTTTATAGCCTTTGCGTATAAGTACATTTCTCATTTCACGTAAAATTGTCTAAAGGCTAAGCCATAGTATCTTAAACAATTCCCAAAAAACTTGAATTAGTACATGTACAAAATCATATCTACCTTAATCTAATTTATTATTAGTATGGTATGAAATATCCATCAATGCATTCAAATTTGCGTAAAAATTATAATTATAATGTATTCAAATTTTTTCATTAAAGCTATCTTTAGTATGGTAACAAGAATTCTACTCCAAAATAGGCTGATGATGATATGCTTATAAATAGACAAGTACAATACATTACCGACTGAATGTTACTTTGGTTAAATTTAATTTAAGAGATATTAAAATTAAATTTATAAAATTGATCAAATCTTCATGTCATGCAATAATTGCTGCAATAAATTCAAAACTAATTAATAAGTAATGTAATTGAAATATTTCATACAATCTATCCAATCAATGATAGTATTAACATTAAGGTTCGTATATTCTCTGTCTAGTCAACTCATTATTTTAAATCAATCGATTTATCTTTCTTAAGTACTTGATGTTAATTTTATGCCGTTTTGATATGGGGCAGTAATTACAAGTTATCTTCTTTCTGTTATTCTATAATCTGTAAATACATATAAACATAATGTTGTATCTTGAAATGGTATGGCTACTAATGACTCCTTTAGGATACCGTCAAATAATTAATAATTAATTTAAAATACTTCGATGCAGTAATACTATTTACAGTAAAGATTATTACCGATCGTCAACAAATATTTCTGATCCTTTACAGAGTAAATTTAAGATTCAAATCATGTTACTTACAGAATATCAGCCTGTTATACAATTTCGAGATATTGACAATTTGGTTTACTAATAAGGATGTGATATAGTGCTAGATCTAGTGTCTGTCTATCTGCCATTGACCAATATTCGGTCTTATAAGATTTCTATTTGAAAGATCAATTTTAAGGAAACTGCTCTTAAAATGATCCATCTCAGTATTCTAGATAATTAAGTTTAATATTATTCCATTAAGATATTACTTTTTTATACGAAATGTGCTTCTGATTTCAGCTGTCTGTCTTTAACGAATTTGAAATCTTACGTATAGTTCAAGATTTGATAGGTATACTCATATCACGTCTGACGAAATTAAAATATTAATAGTAAGCTTTTATTACATTTTAGATACTTGAGTTTATTAATCATCCACTCCTATTTTTTTCCAAGGCTAGTATGATCACGTCCCAATACAGTTGTATTACAGACCGAACAAATTAGTGAGAGATTCTAAGAGCGGAAATATTACAAATTGAAATCTGCTAATCCTATCATAGCTAACTTAGTATAACACTTGGCCGTCAGAATAGAGTAAAAATAGAGTAATAAAAAGTATTTTTTCCTAAAACATGACTTAAATGATTAGAAGAAGTACGCGAAACTTTAATATTAACGTTACTGTACAATTTCATACATGAGCCAAATACTACTCCATTAAAATAGTCTAATTTGCAAGTTAACAGAAGAAAATTATACTACACTAAAGAGCCATATGAACGTTTTAAAAATACATCTATCGCAATTTAGTAACTTGATACCTAGTATCTGTCAACGATGACAGAATCACTGATTTCTATGAATCTCAGAGTTATGTATATAGTAGAAATGATAGGTACCGTAATAAGCCTCACTGCTAAAACATTTATAACTAACCGAAATAGAATTTCTCTTAACCAAGAGTTATTTATAATAAGCTGATATTATATTTTCTTCTTAAATCGGAACGTAATAGCTTTTATTTTTATTATGAACGTATTTAGTTGTGTAAAATAACATCTACGTAGCTAGTTTATTATTATTAGCATAGCAGATATCCATTCAATCTTTTATGGTCTTGTAAATATTATGTTGATGATAAAATTGTCAACAAGATTTAAAAAATGATACAAAATATTACCCCATAGAATTGGGCATTTAAATACAAGCTTAGATACTCATATGTAACCAATAGTAGCATAATTAACCTACCAAATAAATTAAAATTTAAAGTTAGCGATAAAATACTTATTCAATGATACAAAATCTTGTAAAAATAATATTAAACTGAATATCTAGGCCGCAATTCTGGAAAGAGATGCAGCTAGTCTATACTTAACCTAAAAGCCCACTAAAGTAAGCAAATTCCAACTTTTTATTCAATTCTTTCTGTTTGTTCCTTTGAAAGTTTAATAAGTAAACCAATTTATTACTTAAAGTAATGTTTCAAGAATACTCTAGCTAAGACTTTACACTGTTAAAACTAACGATGAAAAAGTATTTAGAATATGCTGATTTTCTGAGTATCTGATGATCTGCTAGGCAGTCTAAATATATAAATTGTTTTCGTTAGATGAACTAGTTGTAATTTAGCTATACTATACTAGTATGCCTTTGTTTCTATTATCTTCATATTTGCATAACGAGATACAAGTTCAAATTATTGCTCAATATTATTTACTTGTATAAAATCCGAGATTAAGAAGTTTAGAGAAGTAATATTGATCCCGATTTTGGGTTTTACCAATCCTAATTTATTGAAAATTATCACTGTTGCTGACACTTTTCATTCTCATTAGACAGCACTAATCATATTTCTAGCTAATAGATCATAGACTGCGATAAAGTATTTTTTACCAATCTTACTATTTAATTATCATGCATGAGTATAAGTGCAAATTAATTATTAATATTTAATTATTATACCAGTCAACAATCAATAACCCATGCCTGGCATCCTTTAGTATTACTCAATATTCCCATATTAAAAGTATTACTATTGATGCATATGAGAGTATCGTTATTTCCATAACAACAGCAATATTATAGTGAAAGATTATTTACCTTCAGTGTCACCTCAACTAGAAATATCCCCTCACTAATAATTTAAATTTGATACAATGAGCGTATTACAGTACTTTTAACGCCGCCTGATGAATCGGTGGAGCTACAAAAAAAATCATAAATTTCAATAGTTTACTCTATGGATAGCATAAAAGATGGAATAATCTTTAGAAAGCCTTGCGAAATAATAATGAAGTTATTACCGCATTTCTTGCTCTAAAAGTAATAATAACTGCATTTTTTAAGCGCGTGCGATCAATACATTATATTACTCTTTAATATATATCAATGATCGCATGACGATGAAAACAAAATACCAAGTTATTCCCACTTTTATAACTGATTGTGCGTGTGGTTAATTCTATGCCTATTTGCAAGCTATCTTGGCCATAGTTAGCCAGTGATGATTTTATTAAATAACCACTAGGCCAACTCAATCATTATCTCAATCTCTTTGATTACAACGCGTACGTGACTACTAAAGCAGCCTAATTTCAATTTATCTAAACACTGATCTATCTCCATCTTATTGAGTTCCTAGAGTACCACCTTTCATAGAGTAATCGATGAAAGGCTGTCTCGTTCTATTATATACCTTTAATTAACATTGTTAATAATACCCATTTTACATATTTTGACACTAACTTAGAATGGTCAGCTCAAAACGTAAGATACTTTTGAGTCATTTTCTATCAGGTAATATTACTACGGTTGATAATAACAAAAAGTTTATTTTAATAGATCAAAAGGAGTAGGCTAGAATATTGATGCAACTGCGACAAAATATTATCGTACTGTCAATCAAGATTGAGCAATATAGGATCATTCTGTTTCCTTATTGGGTAATTTCCCTTCGTTTATAGGCATCATTTCGTCATTTATAATCTACGATAAATATCAATAGGGTAGGAAATACTTATTTTCTAACGGTGTCTATGCCATTAAATTGCGGTCTTCGTTATAAATTTTTTGTAATTAAATGATCATAAATAGTGAGATAATGGATAACTTATCGTTAGAGAGCATGCAAGTATTCATTTTAAATCGGACATCCAGAAAGAATTAATTGCTCCAATATTCAATTTTAAAATCATAAATAATTTACCTAGATGTATCCTTATTGACACCCATGGCGTTCAATAGCTCTATTTTAGTATATTATGAGATGGAATTAATTTTTCTTGATCATACATTGCGGAAAAATAAATATACCTTCAGGAAGAGATACGCAAATATTCATTTTAAAGCAAATATCAAACGAGGCTCATTTGCTTAATAATATTATTCAATTTTGAAATCAGAAATAAGTTATATATAATATTTCCTTATTTACACCCATAGCGTGCCATAACTCTTTTTATTATACTATTAAATGAAATAATTTGCTCTTGATCATATACTGAGGGGAAATGAATGTGCTAGCGTGAAAAACACACCAATATTCTCTTTAATGCGGATGTCAAACGAGAATCATCGGCTCAAATATTTAATTTTAAAATTATATATAATTTAGATATGATGTATCATTATTTACACTCATAGCATTTCATGGTTCTTTATAGTATACTGTTGGATGAAATAAATTGTTCTTGTTAAGAAAAACGAAGAAGAAATTGATATTCCATCTCCTCTGCCTTAGATCAGTTAACTAAGCTACAGTATTGAATTGTTAGCTTTATGCAAATGATTAATAAATCACTAGCACGTTTAAGAGCAATAGAACGTTTATAGTGACAATAAATATAGTGCTTTATTTCAGGCCAACATTCTATTGATTGCCTTTGAGTACTGTTACTATTCAGTAACAGTAAACTTAGGCCTTAAAATATTAATTAAAATGAATATTACTTTGTCCGATGAGGACAGTGCAGCATCCAATCTCAGAAGGATCTGCTACAGTTGTAACAGCATGGCTAAGGTGAATAGTTTACAATTATGCAATAATGTCGATCATCCAAGTGGATCATGATCTTCTTCAATAATTGTATAACTTTGAAGATTTGATTGTAGTATTAAGAGGCACACTCTCAATCCATTGAATATTCGCTATTATTATCCAATCACATGAAAATTGTTGTTATTCGCTTGAGTAGAATTATAATCCATCAGTAACAATTAATACACGCAGCTGATGATGATTTTATAAGAACAATTACGATAATAAAGTGCTTTTTCCCCCTTTTTGCAGTTATCAGAACTGGATTTAGGCTTACTGTTATTCTTACGGATATTAGTGTTAATCTATAACTTTAAGACAAGTTTACTTTCCTCAGCTGACGAAATAAGGAATATGAAAAGTCCTTACAATAATGAGGGAACGAATGAGATGTAGATTAAAATCTGAATGACATGTTGATATTTCAATGGAAAACTGATTTGTCGTTGTGGTATAAATTGTTTTACTTTCGGTTTATTTTCCGTTTCCCAAATGACTAGATACTTTTTCAATGGTAGGATACTATTTTTTTATTTACTTCTTGATCGATTTAGTAACAGACTTAATTCAACGACGATATTTCTGTCGAGTAAGCTTTACGAACTAGAATAAGCTTAATGAACAAGAATAATATTTCAATGCGTGTAAAACAAGGCTAGCCTACGTTTTAACCCAACGCCAATTACTGTCATTAGGTGATCATGCTCATTTTTATTATAATCATCAATAAAACTTCAACTTGATTTTACCAGAATATGAATTGGTTGAATCATACTCTGGGTATCCAATCTGTCTCTGCTATATTGTTTTATCATAATAGAATAGGTGGATATAAATAATATATTGTCCAGCTGATTATAGAGTAGGTTTGGCTTTAAAAATCGATAGCATCAAAGACCGCCTCTTCGCCTTGTTCACTTCCATTTTAATTAATTAGCCATTGTTTGGCCATCAATTAGCCCGAAAACCAGTTGAAAAATTAAAATCTACTCTCAATAGCTATTAAAATGAATATTTTATCCTTTCTTTTCCTACATGATTTTATTTAATATTAATTTAATTGGTTAGAATTGAACCATCGTTATATTTCCCATTCAATGAAGACAATAAAGTGAATAGATGATATTTTTAGATCTGTAATGAATATGCCGTTGAAGTAATTTTATTCTTACATTATTATCATAATTAGATGGAAAAATTATGTTTTACCCTTTTACCTTTAATGTTTTATTTATCCTCTTTTAACTATATATTAGCTTAAACAGATTGAAATTATCTCATATCTAGTTTAGCTTGTCACGGATTGATCGCATCGCTTTCTCAAGGGTGCTATACAGCTATACAGCTATACAGATTACTAAACTTCCCGTCGTAGCGATTGCAAGCCCTCAAGTTCAATATAATTTTTAACATCTGTCTGATGGTTACCACCTATGTCACCAAGATTCCAGTAAATGCGATTACGAATAGCAATTTGAATAGCATCATCTCGTCAATTTGTCTACTTGCTACTATTAAAAACAGTCAACTTTCAGGTACTGATAATCTTAACATGACTGCGTCAATTTTAGTATGAACAGTTTCTTATCTCCACTCTCTAATCCAGCTCAAGTCATTTTATTTTTGCTTTCGTCTCATTCAATTGACATATACAGAAATAAATTCTTATCAGTCCTAATACAATTAATATTACCGGCTAAACGATAAAAGACCGCAAGAATATTTACGTAACCTACCCAGGGAAATATTGACTGCCTTTCATAGTAACATTTATCTTCTTCAACAGATTACGCAACAGGAATTAGGTGGTGATCACCAATTTGATTCATTCTAAGGTAGTTCGTCGCGGTCATTGATTGGGAGATTTATTCTCGAGCAGAAACCGTTATAAAAGTGCTTGAAATCCTTCCTACCCTTTTTATTCATCAAGACAAGCTCATTTCCAAGATGGTTCTCGTAGCAGGAAATCTATCTTTAACCAGTAAAGTAATCCTTATCCCGACATTATCATTTACTTTCATCTTTGGCACTATTGGCAATATCTTAGTCTGTATTGCTATATTAACCAATCGCAAATTAAAAACGGCTACCAATGGATTTATCCTATCACTTGCTATTGCCGATTTACTCGTTTGCGATATTACGGTTCCTATCGCCTTAATTGGTCTATTCCAAGATCCTCGTCCCCGTGCAGCCCTTTTAGCTGGCGAATTGGCCTTATCCGGGGTGTCGTCTTCACAAATTCAACTCGCTGTAATAAGTATTGATCGTTATAGAGGCATCGTTTATCCAGACAAACCGCGTCTAACATGGAAGGAAGTTAAATATATCGTTCCTCCCTTATGGTTGTTGGCCATTACGGAAACTTGCCTAGTGGTTTTCAACTGGCCACACGATATTCGATTTGCACTCATTCATTTCTACTGGTTTTGGTTTATTGCTACTATCACCATTATATGTTATACCTTGATCTGGAGGAATATTGTTTTGCATAATCAAGATGTCGCTGGAGCTTTACGTCATTTAAAACAAGCAAGAATTAAGAAAGAAAAGAGAGCATTTATCATGATTATGTTAGTTGTCTGTTGTTTATTATTATGTTGGTCACCAGCTGCTATAATCTATGGCATTTTTTTGATGCAATATACAGACAAATCCGTCTCCGACAGTATGCGCGAACCGCTCAATGTTTTAGTCGCTTTTGGCTACTTTAATTCGTGCATTAATCCTTTCATATATAACTTGATGAATTCCACGTTTAGAAGTACCTTTCGTAAAATTTTAACCAATTTTTGTCGTCGGATACGTGGCCGATCTTTAACTAAAGTATCACCAATACCCGTTAGTAGTAGTAGCGTACAAGATGTTCGACGAATTGCCGTCAACAATCAGAAGGATAGTAGTACCACATAAAATGGATGTGATTAGCTATAGGAAAGGAAATTTTTTGTATTTTTAGGTATCCAAAAATCAACTGAAAATGAATTGGTAGACATTCAACGAGCTATCATCAACACTTGGAGGGAAAAATTGTTGTATTTTCTAGTATCTATAAAGCAAATGAAAAATGAAATGGTGGGCGTTCTCACAGCTGCATGCTGTCATCTCAATCATAAATAATCCTAAAATGGATCATATTCATTTTTTGGCTATTGATTTAAACCAACTATGAAGATATTTTTACGGCTATATTGCGCGAATGATTGAATAAATGGCGTACAGGTTGAGCCTATTATAGACTAGCAGTGGCAACCACTAAGATAGATATTATCAAAGCTTTTGCATGCAATATCCTATGGATTCGTGTTAAGCTAAAATTTCTTCCATAATAGCATGAGACGAAACAAAATCTTTTGGCCCTTGTTAGCTGCAGGACATAGATGGACAGCTTCGTTACAAAACTTGCCTTCACTTTATTTAATGGAAATTATTCTTTTATTCGTTTTTTGCACGAAATATTAAATATCTCCGGCAAAAATAGAGCTTTAAGCACTTTCATTGCAACATAGCAGTCGGAAGTATAATGGTCCTTGAAAGCAAATTTGAAATTACTATTAGTAGATTGGACCTTTGTAATAAATTTGCATAAACTATTTTATGATATCTTAAACTACTAGCTTGCAGTGTTTTAATTGACTGATTGCATATATAGATTAGCAATTTTTTCTGCTGAGGATGAAAAATTTTATGATGTTTATATTGCTGTACTGATTCAATATCGTATGATTTCTGTAAACTTGTTTACGTACGTAATTGAATAATTATGTCTTGGTTTATCTTACTCCTCACTGATTGCTTGTAGACTATGGCAACTCTATTACTGTTCATATATTCATGCATAAAATCTTAGGTAATCCAAATACATCATCCAATAGATTTTTCTATCTCTATGTAACTGAACTAAATTCGATCATATTAAGCCTAAGATCATAGCTTTATGCAATCTATCCTACAAAAATTTTTACAAAAATTTTTAAAATTTTTGTAGCCGTCCCCATGTTATTTACATGACACCGCAATATGTAAATAATTTTTACTGTTTTTCTTCTTGTTATCTTCAATTAGTATCTAAAAAAATTGACTTTCACTTTCACAAGTATTCTCTATCGATGCCCTTCATTTCTTCAATTCTAAATGCAGGGAAATGACTAATAAGACAAGGCATGGCAGTTCCTGCATATTTCCAGCATCCGTGAAAACCAGCATTGTCATTATTACTGTTCCATTTGTTTTATAGTTAATTAATTTTATATTTTTTCTATACACTACACAGCAAGCTTGGTTATATTCTATAGCTAAAGTCAATATTTTAAATTGTTTCTGGGCTGCTCATTATCAACTTTATATTCATATAAACAAGAACTTTGGCCCTCTATATAAAGCCTAAATAATGCCCACTGGCACCTGCTCAATGGTGTATGGTATTCTTGTTCAATATATAATCGCCTTATCCGATTAGAAAATGAAGTCTTTCCTACGGCCCTTTATCTCCATGACGACATATGCAGGATATTAAATTATGAATTTTGCATGTATCATTAGCCTACAGGATATTGGTCATCATAATTTTGCTTCTGCAGCGGTATTCTATTAATACATCATGGACATTCTGATCGTATAATTAAAATATTATTAAAGTGACATTGTCATCATTGCCTATTGGATTTTAGCATAACTGATACTGTTTGATGTGAGATTTTGTATAGATCAAAGTCTTGAGAAAACATAGAATCAATGCTAGAATAGAATAAAAATTTTCCATTTTAATCCTGAATAGAGTCTGTGCTATCAATGTATAATGGTAGAAATGTATGAGGCAGACAAAAGTACTCATAGCAAGAAGAGTCCTATATGCACGCACCTTGGTGACTGCTAGCTGATTTCATTAGACTGCATCATCTCTTGTTTATGAATCTTTGCTAGAGAGAATAAACCTTATCCTATACGAAATGGAATTAGAAACCTTCAATAACGTCAACAAGCAACTGATGAGATCTTCAGAAGCATAGGAGTACTAGGATTGGATATTATTTCTTAATATTAAACTCTATTTAATCCGACCGGATTGTAACAATTATTTTTCAGTCGTGATTGTCATATCGGCTGAAAAAAGATAATTTTGTCAGGCATTTTTTCCTTCTATAGCTAACTATAAGTCAATAATCATTTTTCATTTCAAAACGGTTATTACCTAATGTAAAACAATTCTTCAAAGATTCACTTTTCCAACTGTATTCATCAGCGCAATATTGACATAGGCGTGTAAGCAAAAAATGGTAATTTTTTCTTGATTCTATATCCATTTTCTTCATTGTTGCCATTAAATGATGCATGGATTAAGACGGCGCTATTCCATAATATAAATATCATTTCATCTACCTGAACTAGTTTATAGTGGGTAAACTCGGAATTGTAATCATAATTAGATGATTGTCTGATTTGCAAGGTATTCCTACAAACACAATTTAGCAATGGTGGTATACCTTAACCACCATAGAGGAATACTTGCTTTGAGGAATAAAGCACATGTTATAAACTCTATCTTACTACTATCACGTATCGATTTTAAGAATTTATTTTTAGAGGGGAATAAATAAGATAATTTGATAGAATGATATGCAATTTCTAAAAAAATTTATTGAGAATCAGCCATGTATAATCTTTAGTCCTTTTGTTTGAACTGCCATCAAGATACTGTATGCGTATGATGTGATATCTTCTGTTTTCACGGCCGGTATTGAGGCTATCTCATGTTCATGTTATCATTTATTTACTCTGTTCTATACTAGGTTTTGCTAAGGAAATAAAAAATGTTTCAATTGTATTTATCGCACGCTACATGATCGTCTATATTAGTAGCTCCATCACTACTATCTCATTTTGTTGCATCGAAATCAGATGTACCAACATGCGATACCTAAATAATCTACTCCCATCTCAATATTAGAACTTTATATTGTATCTCCTTCAAAATATTTGTTTGCACTAGGTCATATTCATTGACATGCCTTCATTTAATTAAACAGAAAGGGCTGGTTATAGCTGTTGATTAAATTTCATCATAATTTTGACTGGAATCAGTGCGATTTTCTGTATTTTTCTACTATTACAGTTTTTATTTTATGACTGTTTCCAGCAACCTTAGCAGATGTATATGAATATATATATACTTTCATCATAATGTCGCTTATGTTACAATAAAATAAAATTTTGAATTTTTGTTTTCAATCACTAGGAGTAGAAAAGTAGTAACAGCATTAATTATAATAAGCAAAACGTGGAGTTAGAATAGTATTGTATATTTTACAAATTGTGTATTGTCTTTCTATCATAGTAACCTTTGTGGCGATAGTGATTTCATTAATATTGAACTTTCGTCTATTTTGATGGCCATTGTTAAAATTGACTCCATATGTTATTAAAATATCAAATCTAAATAAATCCCAAAATAACCCCATCAATTGATATGGCGTAATGATGATATAAATTGGCATTGTTTTTCAACGGATGCCTTTACTATACAAGAATATTGATCTTTTTAAAATAACGTTGCATAAAGATCATAAAGTGGAATTATAGTAGAAAATATTAACGCAGAAAAAAGTCTGACATTTCTTTCTCTTTCGCATCGCATCACTATGCAATACTGGATGAATTGCACAGAAAGAAATCTAGTATTTCTTTCACTTTGGTTTGCAATTGAACGCTGAGTAGGATGCATTTCGATAATATACTGAAAGAATCATCCACTTCTTTATATCGCTACACATTTTGATAGCCATGACCGAAATTGACTCTATATGCTACTAAGAAAATAATATGTGGAAATGAATCCAGATAAGAGTCCATTTACGTGTGTTATTATCGCGTAGAGACGATACAATTCGGTATTAACCTGTGATTTCATTAAAAAAAATACTAATCTTTTTAAAGCGATATTATAGGCGCTCGTAAATCATAAAACAGAGCTAAAACATACGACGTTGATACAGAAAAAAAATTGACATTTCTTTCTCTTTAGTATTTTATCACTTGCAGCATTACAAGTGCTGGAATAGCTGTACAGAAGAAATTGAGTTTCTCTTCCCTTTTGTAATATGATGTAAAGGAGGATGCGCTACTATAATGTGCAGAAAGAACAACCTATTTCTTTCTCCTTGGTATCGTATCGCCATGCAATTTATTTACAATTAGCATTTCTCCAAAGCTAAAACAGCAAGTAGTACTTGATCAGTGATAAACATAAACATATAACTTTGGTTTATTGACATAGTGATAAAGTGAAAGAATTGGCCGAGATATGAACTAAGACAACCTAGACTCGATAACAAATATAAAAAATAATAACTTTAGATCTTGAAGATAATTGATTTGTTATGACAAGATGACAATCGTATTGATTTCATCTTCCATACATGTCATGCCGTGCGTTGGTTGTGGAAAAGCCGATCACAGCTGCAACATTACAAAGTTAATTTCAAAATTAGCCATAGGACGGCTACCAAGGCTTATTTATTTGATTTAATGGCAAGCTGATTTTTATTCACTTGTTTTATCCTTAATCGAATGCAGTCCATAATAATACAAAGAATATTTCCTGTTTGGGCTTGTAACGGCTAGCTTTGAGCTTGTGAATCTTATTCGTAGCTTCATATCAGATTGAAGCATTGCTAAAATTTAGTATGACGTAGATATACTTTATTAACCGGCAATATTTAAAGGAAACAGAAATTTCGTTAACAAATTTAGTTTTAGATTTCTCGGTTCTATCAATATTCAACTTGTTTTCTTTGGCTATATTGATTTTAAGCGATAGCTACGATGATCGTAAAAGATAGATATTGTCAATAGAATTTGTGGTAATGTATTCTATTTTTATTTCGCTTCAGTTCAATTCATAATACAATTCCATT